GAGAGCCTTCATTGCCCTAGAACGTCATTACACTTCTGGAAGCTTTGAGAGATCATCTTTGAGCCTTCAAAGTGTGCATTTGTGGTCTTTAGTGTCCATTTAAAAAAAAGATTTGGTCAAGCAAGCTTGGATCGAGTGGGTGCTTCAAGATCTTGCATCATAATCATCTTACAGAGCTCCTAGAGGTAAAAAGCTTGCATCTTTCCTCTTTATTCTTTAGATCTAGCTAGGGTCTATGTAGTTGGTCCCTTTGATGAACTTTGGACCTCATTTGTTGGCTAGATCGTGCCCATTCGACAATAAAGTCATATCTAAGGTCCTTAAGCCATTTAGGAGCATAAAAATAGGATCTTGGTGGAGGTCTTGACCTTGTGCATGAGTTAAAGACTTTGGAAAGGTCTTAATGATGATTTTGGAGGTATAAGGGACATGCAAAGACATAAAGTTAGCAACTTTATGCCTTGGGACGTGTTAATGAACTCAGATCTAGATTTTGGACGTAAAAAAATGGAATATTAAGCACTTAATGAAAATGCTTAACTCAGACTTACACCGGGCGTCCTTTGTGTACGCTGCGCGTAGCCCTTGAAAAGCCGGTACGCTGAGCGTACGCAGGGCAGTTTGGGTTGTTCCTGTTTTGGGATGACGAACTTTTGGGCCTCATTGGGTTGTTGGGCCTAATTGGATTCTGTGAGTTAGAGACCTTTTCCTTTGTTTGGGCCATGGACTTATCAGTTGGGCCTTATTGGGCTAAAGGGCCCATTAAGGATATTGGACTTAGACTTTTGGGCCCATTTGCAAAGAATGGGTGATTGGGCCTTTGGGGTAGGGTTTAAAGGTTGGGCCCTTCCTTGGGGTAAATTAAGGACCAATCATTGATTATATTATTATTGTTATTATTCAGTTTGGGAGGTTGCGGATCATTAGGAGGACAATATTCATATTATTTGGACAGATGTGAGTCTTCTCACCATACCCATGGGTCTACGGCACCAAGACCGGCCCATTATGTGTTTATGGTATTTGTGTAGTCTGTGATTTGATATGATATGCGATTCTATGTTTTGCATGAAGACCCAGAGGGGAGCCCGTAGCATTGGATGTAAGACCATGTGGGGTAGTCCATGACAGTCCTAGGTAAAGACCATGTGGGGTAGCCCATGGCATTGGATATAAGACCATGTGGGGTAGCCCATGGCAGTCCTAGGTAAAAACCATGTGGGGTAGCCAATGGCATTCTTGTTGATTTATGTATGCATGGCTTATGCGATATGTTTGTAGCTTGATTTGCTACTAGGATATGTGTATGTGTAGTTTGGGGTATGCTCTGGGGAACTCACTAAGCGTTTCGCTTACAGGTTGTTGATTTGTTTCTGGTACATGGAGCCAAAGGGCAAGGGCAAGGCGTGATGGCGCGGCGTACACTCTATTTCTCTTTCTCCAATTTGTTTGGGGACACTGTGATGATTTATATAATGTAATGGATAATGTATTTAAACTAAATGTGGGATCTCATGGTTTTACGTAAATGTGTTTATTAAATTAAATGAAAAATTTTTCTTGTAAATTTGGGTCGTTACAAAAAGTACTCGACTCCTCCCAAAGATAACCTCCATCATGCACATCCTCAATAAGTCAGTCGAGAAATCACCATTAGTAGTATACACCAAACTCCAAGAATTGATGGCAGAGGATAAGGAAATATTTCCAATTTTGCCCTATAGCCCTTAATAAAGAAACGACTCATTCCCCCTTCTATGATATTGACTCCACCCACAAACTAACTCCACTATCTCATCATACCCGCCTCTAGACAACCTATCCATAACTCTATAGTTCTTGTTGGATATAATTCGATACAACTCTGGAAATACATCCTTAAGAACAAAACCCTTTAGCCACTTACCTTTACAAAAAAAAAAGTATCATTCCCCAACCCTACCTTTCTCCTCACAGGTAAATCCAGGCTAACATTCCACTCCTCCAAATCAGATTTGATGTTATCAATAGAATATCACACACCAAGAAGCAAAGCCTTAGCAATAGGCTTCCTGCAATGTCATCTATCTTGTGTCATGCTTCAAAGTATAGTGACCAAAGACTATTTCTAATTGTTTTTAGCTTCCCTATCCACTTGGCAAGCTTTGAAACCTTGATCAACGAGATAATGTTTGAGCTTAGTAAACGAGGCTCATGAAACCTATTTTAACTCATAAAGAGCTTTATGTAGACGACAAACGTAAGTGGGATGAGTTGGGTCTTCAAAGAAACGTGTATGTTTCATGTAAACAACCTTGTTTAGATCATCATTAAGAAAAGCGTTGTTAACATCTAGCTATCTAATAGACTACCTATGAGAGATGGTGATGGAGAGAACAAGGTGAATGGTTGTTGGTTTGATGACAGGGGTGAATGTTTCAAAGTAGCTACATTCGTTTCTTGAGTGAATCCTTGAGCTACTATACGTGCTTTATGTTGTTCAAAGGTACCATCCGATCGTCTTTTAATCTTGAAAATCCACTTACAACTGATGACATTTACGTTAGTAAGACAAGAAACAATAGATCATGTGTTATTCCTCATAAGAGCATCATATTCAGATTGCATAGCATGTTGCCAACATGGATGTTTAATATCTTGAGAGAAAAGGTGTGGTTCAAAGGTTGATGTGTCGGATAGAGATGTATGGAAAATTCAATGTTTGAGAGAGTTGGTTTGTGGTATGGGTTAACCATGCTATGAGTGTTACATGGATTGAGTCGATAATGAGAGGTGGATGGTTGAGTGTGTTTGGCACGAGAACTGATGGTAAGATTTTGATAAGGCGGAGTACGATTGGTAGGGTTTGTAGAGGGTGGTGGAAATGGTTGGGTAATGGAAGGTGTGGAGGGAGAAGTGGAGGAAGAGTAAGTGAAGGGTGGTGTAGGGTCTAATGGTGGTGATGGGTATAAAAGTGAGGCAACGTGAGTTAGTAAGTTAGAGTTAATATCAGATGGAGGGGAAGAGTTGATGAGGGCGGTGCAAAGACTGGGGGTAAATAGGGAAAGACAATTTCATTAAAAATAACGGGGAGGTTATGATTGGTGGAAACAAATGTATCATTTGTGTGTTGTACTATAGTCGAGAAAGATACAGTGGAGGGATCAAAAATCTATTTTGTGAGAATTATATGGGCGTAAGAAAGGATAACACAAGCAACCAAAGGTTTTGAGGAAGGTATAGTATGGTGTTTTGTTGAATCAAAGTTGAGAAGAGGAATGATTATGTGATTGTGAAGATATGTTGCGGTTTTGAAGGCATGCTCCCAAAAGAGTTGTGGAATGGACGATTGTGAATTGTATTGTATATGCTTCATAAAGAGTACATCAAGTAAGGATGTATCTATACGACACTAATTTAACATTATACATAAGATCTGGTTCTCTTTTTGATAAAGAATTTCGTTTGTGCCCATTAACCCCATTCCCTCCCAAGCTTCGCTTTTTCTCTTCGCCCTTCAATTTCCCCTGTTGGCGCTGCCATTTAGTCGGTTTCTTCGTCGGCTTCCTACGCACTTGCATGTCTTCTTCCTAAGGACTAAGGTCTTTCTCTGAAATTGATTTACTATCTAGTTATGAACTTAAAATAAAAAATCTTTTTCTTTTCCTTATCTAAAATCGATTCTGGATTTTGGTATGAAGTTGAAAGCTTTTTCTTTTCTGTTTGCATGCATATTCTCAGATTCTGGAACATTTGTTCTCAGTGTGAACTATACTTTCACCTACTCTTAAATTAATCTTTGATCATGGGTCCATGCACTCATCTTTACTGCCATATAAGATACTTGTTTATGTACTTAAATTTTGCGTGCAAATTGTTTGTTGAAATGCTTTACTGAAATTCGATATATGTATTATGGTTGATGTTATTTTATTATCTTTTTAGGCAACTTACATTTCAAATATGAGTAGGTATTATTCAGCTTATAATATGTTTGATGTGAAAATGATACACTTTTTAGGGAATTACATGTATATAAACAAATCTTTAAAATTCCGTTCATTGCACTCTAAAAAACGCTTTGGCTTCTTGGAATTGGATATTTGTGTTTTTATATAACGTGACAATAAAAGATTACTGGTGAAACAGCATAATATTGAGGCATTTACTTATAAGATGTTTTTTATGTTATTGTTTGCTTGATATATTTATATACTGCTATCACATAATAATTTGATATATGTATTGCGGTTGATGTACTTTTATTACCTTAATGATTATCAATAAGATCTAAGAACGTTTCGTAGATTAATTTTCTGTAAAACCATTATTTACAAATTAATGTAGCATAATATTTTCGTTGTCTTTTGTGATCTAATTGTTCAAGTATCTTAGATTACAATAACCATAAAGTAAAAACATATCCATCACAAATGATTGTGTATAATGAAACTTTGTAAACGTTTTAATGTCCCCTCAGAAATGACATAACAATATATCATCAAAATCAGAATTAGCATGGTCAATTTCATGCATCATTGGGAACATAAAATAGATAAACCAACGAAAAGTTTGTAACTTTTTATTGCAAAAAAATTAAACTTTGAAAAAACAGAGTTAAAATAGCTCAAAGCTCAGATAAAACACTAAACGTTGTAATTCCCTGACCTTAAACAAATTAAAGTCTCATAGAGCTGGGATTAGATAATGTCATCATCATTGCAATAGCAATAAACAACAAAAATTAAGAAGAAATAATCAAAACAAAAAGCTCAGATAAACATGAACTAATTTTAATCCACAACCTTAAACATATTAAGGTCTCAGAGTGAGCTGGGATGCAAGTTCGATCTTCATCGCAAACAGCAATCAATAAATGAAACTTATATTCGATCATGTAAAGAAGATACAAAAAGGATCAGACTAGCTTTCTAGGCTGCATTATGCATCAAATCAAGCAATTAATCAATTGCTCTCAGAGCCCAGTGCAAACTTCATCATCTCCGAACAATTTCTTATTTTTACGAAAATAATGAATCATTAGAAATTAGTTGGAAGTATAAAGAACTTCTTTTGAAAGGATCCTCAGCGTAAATGCTTATAGCTGTCATCAAGATGTTAAAATCAGGTCTCAAAGATATCATGCCATCATTGGATCACCAAAATATGCTTCGAAAATACGAAAAACAACATCAATTCGTAATGACAAATCGAAAAACACACAAAAAACGTAGATAAATTGATGAATTTAGCGGGAGTTTATTAGCTGCGCAATAAATTTATGCCTCTAGTCTTGAGGACGTATATCCAAAGAAAAATCACATCAATTAATACGATTTGTAAAGGATTTCTCACAAAGAGGAGAGAAAACTTTCAGATATCTGCTATAGCAAAAAGGAGAAAAGAAAAAAATCAACAAAAAGGGGCAAATTTAGAGATACCAGTGTAGAAACAGATGAATGACTTCGTATCGTTGGAATATTGTGGATCTGTGGAATAAACCCTTACAGCTTCAGTTTATATAGTAGTTTCATGAATTTGGCGATTAGGGTTTTGATTTTTTGGGCAGTTTTTGATATTTTATGGATTTGGAGCACGTAACTGTGGCCCAAAATAGAGAATTAAATTAGGTTAATTAAAGTATCGGTCAAACTCCTATAATTATTATTCGAATTTCACTCTACGGATTGTAAGTTTGTAATTGTTTGCTCAAAATAATATATTGGAAATCTCCGATAAATTTCTAACATTTTAAGTCAGTTTATTTACGGTTTAATGTTAATATTTATCTTTTTAATAGAAAAGTCTGGATTTTCTAATTTTATATGATAATTTGTTATTTTTTGTTAAAAAAAATAAGAATTGTTTTGTTAACTTGGACAAAATATAAAGTAATCGAGACTTTTCAGTTCAAAAAATATAAATCAAGATTAAAGTATAAATTAGCTTAAAATATTAAGATTTTATCAGAGATTTCTCTTTACAGAAGAAGAAGAAAAAGAACGAAAGAAGACAATATGGTTTTTTTTAAAGAAACTAGAATGATGAAATGGCAGTCAAACTTTGACCACAACCTTATAGGATAAACTTTAAACACACGATTAAAAACCAAATCCAAGAGACAAACACATATAAAATTTGTTTTGTTCTATGTTCTATGAGAGAAGTAATTTGTGGAAGAATATAAGTGAAAAAGTGATCTTTTGCAATACCAAAAACATCAACCGACATTCTCATTTGAAGTTGCATGACCATAACACATAGTAAACCATAAACTATTGTCAACTTAACTTGTATACCAAAGACATTACCAAAGTACAATATCAAACGAAAGCAATCTTCACACTTCCTCAACTTTTCTTGATTGCATCTTCCTACTCTAAAAAGGCCATAGAGAACGATAACATTGCAAGTATCACATACTTCAGGAACCTCTAATTCTTCAATAACACACTTAGACAAATATGTTAGCCCATGTTCTGTGTACACTTTGATTTCCTTGTGTTAATACTTAATACACAAACTTGGACAAAAAAATGACACCTTCATCATTTCTTAGGCTAAAAGACCAAAGCCCAAAAGTCCAAATTGCCACAAGGAATCAAGAGATTACTAATGCTAGTATTGGGGTTAATTAATTTCACCACAGCTGGATCAAATGACCCACAAAAAGTCAGGCTTCAAATTGTACAAAATATTAATAAACTATCATATCTGTATTATTGGTAATGTAAAGGCCCGTTGTCTCTTCTTTTTTACCCTTTCAACACTATTTTAGCTCTGAACGAATGCCATTTTTTGTGAATAGAACTTGAATAAAGAACTATGCACTCAAGAATACGATATTGTGAATAAGTCAAGATAGGAGAATAGAGAACGTTTTTTACGATGTATTGGAATTACAATCAATACCTACTTATACTAACTCCAGAGGCCATTGAAACAATTTACGTTTGTTAAAAACTAATCGAAAAGTTTGTTTTTCAATGTTTAATGTCACCTCAAGAATCTTTCAGAATGAAGGTGATTCTTTCACTTAAATTGTTTCATTCACATAATAAAAATAAGTTTCGCTAACTTATACAATAGTTGAAGGGTGTTTTAAATTATATGGAAAATCAACTTCTAAGGTAAAAACCTGATATATGTTTTTTGTAAGATCCACCACCTATCCGACAAATTAGAAGAATTCGACCCGAATAAGAGGTAACCGGTAATATAATATTGGGTGAGGATGTTTTCTTAGATTAAAAAATAAATAAATAAAAAAAATCTGATTGGTTTATGCACCTCTGGTTATTATAATCAACAAATCTTTGTGTTATAAGTTATCAAAATAAAGGTATGTTTTGTTAGTACAAAATATTTTTGAATATTTATAAATGTATGTATTAAAACACGATCGTACTTGTGCTTTTATTTAAGAATTACCATTTTAATAAAATAAAATTCTTTGATCACAAATAATTGATTCTCAATTAAAAATATATAAACTAATGTTCCTTTTTGAAAAACTGCCTTGCATTGGTACCTAATCTAAAATTTCCATGCAAGTTGTTGGATTATACCCAATTTTAATAAAACTTTTAATTAGTCAACGTTTAGCAAGAATTTAGCTTTTACCTTTTCATCAAACACATTTTTTTATGAAAATGTAACATCTACTCCACGTTAAAAAATACAAATATATTTCAATTTTAAATAACTATTAATTAAAAGTCATTACAAAATATTTATAACGAACAAAAAAAAAAGTCAATTTATTGGTGTTAAGGCAAGTGGCGAAACCAGAACAAAATATTAAGGGTAGCACATATAAATTTAGTGGTTGCTCACCGGAAAAATTACATTACAACGAAAATTTTCCACTACACCTAAAAATTTGAAGGTAACACGGGTTATCCTGAACTCCTTAGTAGATACACTCATAAGACTATGTTTGATGTACCAACTGAAAAACTAGATGACAATTAAAAAATTAATTGATAGTTGAAATATTAGTTTGTACAAAATTACATTTTTTAAAAACTAATCGATAAGCCATCAGTGAGATATAAAACTACATAAATGAGGATTTAGAAAAATATGATTTATTTAATTAACTAAGGGTATATTTGAAAAAACAAAATTTAAACTTCTGAAAAAATAACATAGTTTAAAAAAAAAATTATAAATTATCTTTTAAGTTACTTTTTGGCTTGCCAAATTAATAACTTAAAAGAAAATCTCGAAAATTAAGCTAATTTATCAGCTGGTTTGTGGCGCGTAAAACAATATAAGTATTAACAATCATCCTAAATATTTGATTTCTTAATAAAGTCGTCTAACTTTATATAAATTATAATGCTTTTTTCGGAATAAATTTTTTTTTTCATATATAATATGTTCTAGTTCCAAAAAAGAATTTATAACATTTTTTTCTTGGATAATACATAAGCAAGAGTGCAACCATATATGGCCCATCCACCCATGTAGTATAAGGAGTATAAATAATAGGGTTTATGTCATTTTTTGTCACTTAATTTTTTGTTTTTTCTTCATTTGGTCACTTAATTATTTTTAAGTTTTAAAAGGTCATCAAATTTTTGATTTTGTGCTCATTTAATCACCCAACTTTTAGATTTGTACTCATTTAGTCACCTAACTTTTAAAATTGTGCTAATTTAGTCATTAAACTTTTAAAAAAATTTAAAAGTTTAGTGACTAAATGAGCATAATTTTAAAAGTTTGGTGACTAAATGTGACCAAAACAAAAGTTAAATGACTAAATGAGCACAAAGCTAAAAGTTTGATGACCTTTTAAAACTTAAAAAGAGTTAAGTGACCAAATAAACACAAAACCAAAAGTTAAGTGACCAAAAATGACCTAAATCCTAAATAATATTATACATATGAACCCATTTTTGTTTGTTGCACTTTTTCTTTATAATCAACCGACCGAGTATGTACAAAAGAAATGTGATTTATGAAAGTTGTTCAAACTAATCCTACTTTTGTGAGTTTGTCGATAGACATTCTATTAAAAACTTTTATTTTGATCACTAATTTCTTACTTGACAAGTGTTTAGAAATATAGTAATAATCAAACAATTTTGTTAAGTTATATGTGTTATGCAGATAGATATTTTTAAGAGGAAAATTGTCACTGTAGCACAATAAATCATCATCATTTACCCGATTTTGCATTAAACCATCTTTTTTTGCACAATGGGTCATTAAACTCACTAGTTACCCGTTAATCAAGTCACTTCCATTAAAATTTAACGGATACCCGATTACCGAGCCTATGTGGAAGTGTGACGTATCGAGGATGTTTAATAAGCTATTACGTAAAAAAATTTAGTAACATAATCGAGTAAATGAAAATAATTGATTGTGTTACAATGATATTTTTTTCATTTTGTAACGTCCTAAAATTCATAAGTAAAATTTTCATTTTTAAGTTAATCAAAAATCATCAAATATCCATATCAATCAAACAAGAGTATGTTAATGTGTAAATATTTATTAGAGTGCAATCTCAAAGATCATAAAAATGCTAAACTTGGGTGGATGTGTTGCCTGGATAGTCGAGAGGTGCTTGACCTGCCGTCGGGTCAAGGCAGAGCATCAGCGTCCTCATGGTCTATTGCAACCTCTAAAGATTCCCCAGTGGAAGTTGGAACAAATCTCTATGGATTTTATTACCAAGTTACCGAGCACTGCGCGTGGAGTTGACGCGATTTGGGTGATTGTGGACCGATTGACGAAGAGTGCTCACTTCCTTGCTATTAGTGAGAGCTCTTCTGCAGAGAAATTGGCCGAGATTTATGTG